ACATCGCTAAATCAAAAGACCGGACTGGTAAACACTACTGCCCAAAACCAACACCTAATCAAAAGAGGAAAAGCCCCCCCCCTACGTCGTCTGCACCTTTCTTCTTCGCAATTTCCTCGAACTGCATTTTTGCTGCTACCCTTCTAATCCTTCTAGCTAGTCTATCATCCTTAGCGTATGTCCATAAAATAGTATATATTGTCACGTTAGCTGCAATATGATCAAGGTTAGGCATACTATATCTAAATATAAGCTGATTACGACTATTCTAGATCCACCAATAACAACAATGGAGCACTACTTTCAAAAACATTTTAATATATGTATTATTGAGGGAATTATCTCTGAAAAGTATCAAGTCTTTCATATTATGAGGCCAAGAAATTACACTAACGCTAGGGAAGAGAGTGGACCAGATAGATGAAGCAAAGGAACATCTGATGAACAAGTGATTCTGGTTCTTAATTTCCAGGTTGCAAAAAGGGCATCTAAGGTCACCATGCCAACACTTGGAGACAAGATTTGCCCTTGTGTTGAGCTTATTTTTGCTAACAATCCAGAAGAACACATTGACTTTCAGAGGAGTGGGGGATTTCCATATGAATTTGAAGTATATGAATTTCTAGCCTCCTGATTTTAGAGCAGAATAGAAGGATTTAACAGAGAGTTGACCTGAAGGATGAAGAGGCCACCATAGCCTGTCAGTAGAGTTAACGACTTCACAGGAGTAGGGAACCAGGAAGGATTGAAGGGACTCAATGTCATTTCTCTCTACAAGAGAGACTCCTCTTCTAAGGATGGGATGCCAGAACCATGAACAATCTTGAATGAAACCTTAAGAACGGATGATGTAGTCGGAGGAGAAAGCCAGATTGAAAGCTTAGGAAAAAGACTGCTAAAGGAGTTAGCACTAGCCCATTTGTCAGTCCAAAATCTGCAAGACCTTCCATTACGAACATTCCATCTAGCAAAGCTGAAGAAAATAGAACTGGTGGAGAATAGATCTTTTATAAGTTTGGAAGCTTGAGATTTAGGTTGGTGCACAATAGGATTAACATCATCTCTGGAGTACATAGAGAAAATCGCTCTACTGATTAAGAATTCTCTGTCAAAATTTTTCCAGATCCATTAGAAAGGAGAGCAATTTCGAAAGAAGATAGATCAATGACTCCCAACCCCCCCCCCTCTTGTTTTGGTCTACAGACTGAGTCCTAAGCTACCAAACATTTGGCTTTTGAGAAATAATGACTACTATTCCAAAGAAAATTTCTCCTAATTTTATCAATAGCTTTGATAAGCCATGAAGGAAACTTGAAGAAAGAAATGTAATATAGGGGGATGGAAGATAAAACTAAATTTATTAAAGTAAGACACCGTCCAAAGAAGAGAGCTTTAGTCTTCCAAAGAGACAAATTTTTGGAGAATAAATCTAGTAGAGGTTGTCATTCTCTTCTAGACAGAGATCCTCTTTTGAGAGGCAGACCAAGATAAGAGAAAGGAAGAGAGCTGGCAGAGCAATTGAATGTTGTAGCTAATAGTTGACCTTTAAGAGGAATCCTGCCAATATAAAAGAGATTAGTTTTGTTGTAGTTCACATTTAGACTAGAAATGTTAGCAAAAATAAGGAGGATAGCTTTGAGGGTGATCATATCTGAAGAGAATGCCTTGGAGAAAATGATAGTGTTATCTACAAACTGTAAAACTCTGATTGAGTTTAATTCCCCTTTCAAATGAAGATTAGACAAGTCCCCTGAATCGGCACTACTAGAAATCATTTTGTTTAGTACATCAACCACCAGAAGGAAAAGCATGGGGGGATAAGGGGTCTCCTTGTTTAAGTCCCCTATGACAAGTAAATAATTTAGAGGGGGAATCATTGACCAAAACTGTAGATTTGGAAGAAGAAAGGATGTGTTTAATCCAGAGACACCATCTAGGACTAAACCCTCTAACTTCCATCAGGGAGAGAAGAAAATTCTAGTTGACACAATCATAGGCCTTGAAAAAAAAAATCAATTTTGATAGTACATATCTCATTCTTGCCAGAAGAACAAAAGTCGATCATCTCATGGGCTAACAGAATGGAATCTAGAGAGGATTTTCCTTTTTGAAAGGCATATTGAGCATTGCCTACAAGGAGGTGAAGAAGTTTGCTTAATCTATTGGCCAAGATTTTGGAGAAAATTTTACAGGAACTGTTTATAAGACTGATTGGTCTGAAATCACTTGGGAAGTTAGCACCATCTTTTTTAGGAATGAGACTGATATAAGAATAATTGATATTGTGGAGAAGTTGTGGGTGATAAAAGAGGTTTTGAATAAAGACCATAAAATCTACTTCTAAGGTATTCCAGAAAGATTGATAAAAAATAGAGGAAGACCATCAGGTCCTGGAGATTTATCTGGATGAAGGTCGAACACTGCAGATTTAATTTCTTCAGAGGAGAAGGGAAGATCTAGAAGGGAGAGGTCTAAGGATTCATTTGGGTAAAGGATATTCCGGTCTACTGAGAGTCTAGACTCAGATGATTGCTGGAAGAGGTTAGAAAAGTAATCAAAAAAGCCTTCTTCATATCAGATTCTGCTGAGATGATAGAGTCATTAATCATGAGGTAGGGGATGAAGTTTTTTCTTCTACGGTAAGAAGCAGCTTTATGGAAAAATTTGGTGTTATTATCCCCTTCTTTTGACCTATGGATTCTAGATCTTTGCTTCCACTTAATCTCTTCCGACCTAGCTAAGGCTAAAAGATTATCTTTTAAAAAAAATCTGGTCTGAAGTTCAAATGGAGATAAACTCCTGGATTCTTCAAGCTGGTGAAGGGCGTCTAGCTGAGACATATAAGAAGAGAAGAGATGTTTGGAAGAACCAAGACAGTTTTTTCTCCACCATTTAATTCTCCTATTAATGAGCTTCAACTTGAAGGGGAAGGAAGGGATAGAAAGATCATGATTGGAGAAAGAACCCTAACTAGATTGGATAAAAGATTTGAAAGAAGGAATTGAAAGCTAAGATTTTTCAAATTTGAACAAATTTTGTGCTTGGTAGTAAGGTGTCCTATTCCCATCCACTCATTCCAATTCCTAACCACTTTTCAACTCATGTGCATGTGGGCCTCGATTTTAATGAGTGAAGGGAATATGCCACCTCACTATCAAGCGCAAAACTTGTGCTTGGTACCAAACATACTAATTTTTCTTTTATATATATATATATATATATAGTCTCGATGTCCCTAGTAGAACCAGAACTACCACTCCTCTCAGCTAAACTGAGGGTCATATTGAAATCACCAAAAACAATATAAGGGAGAGGAAGACAATTTCTTATTCTACTGAGTTCTCACCAACAGACCTCTTTATCGGAAGAATCACAAGGAGTATAGACGGAAGTAACAGCAAACTTCCATTGAGATGGAATATGGGTGAGGATAGTTGTAACAGAGAAGATGTCGATGAAGGAGGAGGAGCAAGAGAAAATGTTATCATTATAACCCAGAAGAACATCGCCTCTAGATTTAGATGCATCTAAAGAGATCCAAGAAGAAATGATGCCACTCCTTAGGTTCTTAAGAGAGTAAGATCTAGAAGAGTTGAGTTTAGTTTCTTATAAACCGACAAGATCTATTTTAGCTAGCTTCAAACACTCCTTAACGAATCTGCGTTTGACTAGGTTATTCAATCCCCTAACATTCCATGATTCAATCTTCGTTAACATAGAATTGAGTAATAACGTAGGAGTAAGAAGACTACTCAGTTGGGGATAGCCTCTAGTCACTCCATGTTTTGAATATCTCTCAATCCTTGAGGATCCACCGGCTCTTTGATACCACAATTAACTGATATCTCCCTAATCGCTCAAGACTTAGGGATTGAAGAGGCTGGGTAGAAGTGGACGAAGAAGATGGTTTACTCTTTGACTTACCTTGGTGCTTACTTCTCCTCATCAAGGCCAGGTGCCTCTTGTATGGATGAACTGACAGAGATCCCCAAGAGGATTTCTTCTTAAGAGCCTTAGGCTGAAGCTTCATGTTCTCAAAACCCGGAGGGGGTCTGAGGAGGAGACGATATCCAAAGAATCTGAGGAGCTAAATTCAAGACCAAAATCTCTATGAGATGGGTTGGGATCTGGCTCAACCTCGACAGGCTGCGAGAGGTCTGGCTGTAATAACTCCCAAGATGACTTAGCGATCTTTATATTAACACCTTTGAAAAATACTTTTACCATCTCTGAGTCTTCTCTAGCAGGAGGGGATGGGGAAGGGATCAGAGGAATGCCACCTAAAGCAACAATAGGCCTCTTGGCTTATGGGTCAGTTGGAAGAGGCTCAGAGACTAGCACTTGCTTAACTGCTTCTGTCGAGGTTGGAATGAGGGGATGAACTGGCTAAGAGACTCCGACGAGAGGTCCTGAACACCCTCTTTACGAATGAAGGATTCGTAGATGTCCTGACAACTACCCTGGACCACAGATAAGGGTTTACCAACAACCCTCAAACGGACGGATCCTTCCATGATATGAATATTATCTGGAGAAGCATATCTAAAAATGACTTCTTGAGGAATTTTAGCGGGGTTCCTGATGTGGAGCATCACTTTACAGTCTATCACCTCTCTCTTGAGCATGATATCATCTGACACTATAATAACCTCACCGACATATCCTAGCATAGATGAGATGAATTCTGAATCCCAAAGATGAATGGGTAAATCAAGGATCTCTACCCAAACATAGACAAATATAGGCAGAGCTTTGAGGCCAGATTGCTCCAACTAGGGGGGGAAATACCTCTGAAGTTACCCATGCTGAAAAAGGAGTTGGAGGCATAATCCAAGGTCTTAGCATCTGGGAACTGGATGAAATAAGAGGAAGAAGAGGATTTTCTAACAACGGTTTTCCACTTATCCACTTTAAGATGGAACTCAAGGTTCTCTATCAACTCCTCGTAGGAGGGGTTGCCTACTTTTATCTGGAAAAAAGCGTAGAAGATGAATTCATCCATGCTATTAACCACTGACTCAGGGAGAGGGACATCAGGGATAAACAAAGGAGAAGGTCGGAAAGCAGAAGCTTTTAAGGTAGGGGTAGGGGGTTGATGCTCTGAATCAGGGGCTGCTTCCTATTGGAACAACACATCGAAGTATGCTCTACCAAGTTGCAAGCAAAACATTTAAAATCACCTAAAGAATAGTTATTTACTATGTGGTCCCTTTTCTCTACATAAAGGAAACATCTAAAAGGTTTTAAGGGAGGGGGGGGGGGGGGGTTTGGAGGGAGAAGAGGAGGAGCTCGGTCTTTTTGAACTCTTCTTGTAGGAAACCTTAGTCCACCATTCTTCTGGAAGGGAAGGATGCCTTTGGACGAGGATGGTCGCAGAGGCTTGGATCCTTTGAGAAGGTCGGCAAAGGATGATTTATGAGTGAGAGGATGATAGGGAGATGGACAGAACAAAACAGAGGGGTTAGGGTTTTGAAGGTTAGAAGCTGGGGGAAGGGAAAATTCTGGAGCAGAAAGGCTGTTGGGAGGAGAGGAAGACGAAGAGGTTGAGGGCTGACGAGAGACAGTGATTTTACCGTTGATGAAGGAAACGAGGCGCCGTCTTGGAACCGTAAAAGCTGTCTGAAGAGGAGCCGCTCCTTGTCGCCTGTCGAATCGCCTGTTCCCGCGCTCCATCCTGAGTGTTAAAATTATTGGGAATCATTTGTAGAAATAAAATTAGTTTTACTTGCCAACAAGTATTTCCTTATCAAATTCGAGTACCAAAGATAATTGCATCTTCAGTCAGCCCACTGTCACCAACTCTCTAGCGATTATGGTTGTGCCAAATTCCTCACATTAATCCAATCATAACCTCTATTTCACTTTCATTTAGCAAGAGGATGCATTGTGATGACCAATACATCATATTAAAGCAAGTTAGTCAAGAAACTGTTGTAGACATGCTTGCTTTCTCTCTTATTTTTATTGCAAATATGAGATGTATGGATTTCATAGTATACTCTCCACGATTAAACGCAACAATTTCCCATGACAATTCCTCTATATCTCTAATGTTTCTTTTGTAGGTAGATAATGAAAACTTGGAGAATGAAAGGATATCAAAACATTTAAAAATGAAGATAACGTAGGATTATGTCACACATGCAATCCACAATGAACATCATTGCATCAATCTTCAAATGGATAAAGCTGGAACAGATCCTACAACAAGTTACAAGATCAACAAGGTTAATTTTATATGATATAAAAAACTATACAAGAATATATTCTTATTCATGTGCACGATTCTAAAGTTCTGTAAAGCCGTGCTTAAAAAAATGTCTCCCAAAAAAGGATCATTTTGGCAATAAAAGAGAAAGTAGAAAACTAAACGAATCTGCAAATGCTTTTTACCTTGTGATATTGTGATCGTGCTTAATTTGGTCAAAAGTTAGAGGTTTAAAGTAAAAAAGGATATAACTTTCTTGCCTTTTTATGTGACTCTAATTTGGACGGTTTGATTGTATCTATATTCTAAGCTAGTTACATCCAAGAATTTACTTTATCACTAATCCAAATTTATGGCACTAATCTCAAATAATTTAAAATGCTAATGGTCAAGAAACTTTGACGAGATAACAACCTATGGTGCAATGAGAGATCTTATTGAGGCTTTTTATGATTGGTTAATGTACGCAGAATAGCAAAGCATTCTAATGATGAAGCTTATATTAACTTGAAATACATAGATAAACATTCAACCTGACTACTTTTATTAAAGTTATCTATAACATACGTATGATTGTGACAAGAAACATATAAAGAGATAAAGAGGGTCAGATTTTATGTCTCAACACGTGACGAGCCTTCATGAATGTTAAGGAACCCCGAGGAAATACTGTTGTAGTGGAATTGTCAAGGAAACAAATGCAAGAAAGATATACATACACGATATATACACACATAAACATATATATGTGTATATGTGTGTAGTGTATATATATATATATATATATATATATATATATATATATATATATATATTATATATAGTTATAGTATAGAGTAAGAGATGAGACGAGAGAGAGAGAGAGAGATATTAATGGGTTATCCTTGTCATAGGCAGCGGGATTTCCTCCTTGACGCCTCTAAAATCACATTGATTGAACGAATTGTGGATGATGCGCTCCCGTTGAACTTGACGACAGTATTCTAAAAAACCCTAACACTCCAAGTTGGGGGTGAACCCGTCGTCGTTTGACCCTTCATCCACTCGTATCAATTTTAATACTGGTTTAGATGAATAGAACTTTTCCAATGGGCTCGATGGAGTAAAAAGGTAGTTCATTGCGAAGTACTGGAGATTATCTATATATATTATATATATATATATATATATATATATATATATATATATATATATATGCGTGTGTGTGTGTATGTGTGTGTGTGTAGAGTAAAGCTCATATAAACTTAAGTGGACATGAGCACTTGTTCACCAAACTTTTTACCCCTTCATTATGCTTTGAGATTTGTGCTACATATCAATGCTATTTTTGAGATTTGTGCCTTCATTTGTATTATATGCTAACACAAATCTCAATGCAAGATCACTGGTTAAAAAAGTTGGTGGACGAAGGGCTCTTATCCACTTTAGTTTATAGGAGTTTTACACATATCTCAAATATAGCAAATAAGAGCTTTACTCTATGGGGGTGTTTGGTTGCACAATTTTATAGAAAAGTTTTCTCAAAATATCTGACAATGGTAATTCTGTAAATAAAAGTTTTCTATAGATTTTTGTAAACCGTGTTTGGTTCAAAAAAATTTACATAAATATATTCTGTTAAGTACAAAAAAGTACCAAAATTAATTTCCTCTCAAAATGGATGGAAATCACCCAGAAATCTGAGACTGACACTTTTCTAAAAGTTGGTATTTTTCCATAAATTTAGGGAGTGTTTGGTTCAATTTTTCTATAAATTATAAGAAATCATGCTATTTTCTATAAAGTTACGTGCCATTTTCTTGTTTTGAACCAAACAAACAAAGTAAAAAAACAAGAAAATTGTACTTTTCGACTTCTCAAAACTTTTCTTATAATTTTTTAAGAAATACAAGGAAATCATATTTTGGGTGGAAAATATTTCCTATAATTTAGAGAAATTGAACCAAACACCCCCTATATGTGTGTGTGTGTGTGTCTATGTATGTATATGTATACATATTCGTATATATGTATACATATATGAGAAAAATGGATATGATTGGTACCAAACACAAGTTTTTGTGCTTGGTAGTGAGGTAACATATTCTCATCCACTCATTAAAATCGAGGCCCAAATTCATATGATTGGGGAGTGGTTGAAAATTAGAATGAGTGGATGAGAATAAGACACCACACTACCAAGCACAGATTTATGCTTGATACCAAGCATACCCATTTTTCTATATATATATATATATATATGTAAGCTAAGGCCCACAATCACATTTCTTATGGCAAGCTTTGTTCAAGGCCCAACTTACTCTTGAATTTTATTTTATTTTCCAAGGACCAATTCGTCTTATAGCCCAGCACACAAGCTTTGTTCAAGGCCCAGCTTACTCTTGAATTTTATTTTTTTTCCAAGGCCCAATTCAACTTATAGCCCAGTACATTAGAACTTGTATGCAACCAAAGCCCTTGAACAAGTTTACACCCATCTACACCTATTTTTCCCTATGATATATTCGGTTTCTTTTTTAAAAAAAAGTGAGAGAGTGAACGTGAAAAAGAAAACCAATTTTTTTTTCTTTTTGCCATGATACCACGTTTCACAGAAATCAAAATTAAAATCTCAACAACAAAATCCCTTTTATCCTACAAAATCCCTAACCACAAAGTCTATCCTCAATAAGCATATATCCTTTAAATATTTTTCTTTTCTTTACCATCTGAAAACCTCACGAAAATAAAAAAAAGGAGAAGAAAGGAGGGGCACTGACTACATCTTAGGAGGCAAGTGAAAGATCTTTGATTGGAGTTCTTTTTTTACACAAATCGGCAAATATATTTTTCCTTTTTTTCTTTCCCTTTTCTTTTCAAAAAGTTTCATCTTCATAAATCCTTTCATAGCTTGTGAAATTATAGATGTTTGGTAGATGATGCTAGCATGTTATGCTTCTAGTTGATTAGAATCTTTATATATTGATGATGGTTTAAGTATATATTTAATTCATGAGATTATTTTGGTTATAGCAAGAGAATTATTTTTTCCGCAACAACAAATTTAAATTTCTCAAACTTTAAATTTGTTATTTATAATATTTAGGGAATTTCTCTTAATGTTTAGTTCTCCACGGGTATCAATTCATGTGGATATGGCTTGTTGTAGGGAATCTTAGTTATACTTCCCTTAGATGTCTATACATGGTTAAAATGCTTGTAATTATGTTATGCTTTTCTGTTAAATTCCCTTTTTGGGTAATAAACTTATTATTATTATTATTATTATTGACCACAACAGAGTATTTAAGTTTTATAAATCCTTTTACTTATTTTTGTATTTGGTAGAATCGTAGTTAATTTAGACTATATGTAAATAATTCTTGTAACAATCTTAAGGTAGAGGACTCTTGGGTATAGTGGTTAAGGGACTTAGTTATTAGTTCTTAGGTCTTGGGTTCGAATCTTTTGCCCATCATTTTTTCAAAAGCTATTTGGGTCTATTATGAACTCAAACCTGACCCAGTTAGGATCCAATATCAATTTCCAGACCCGTTTGGGTTTATAATTCAAAGTACATACTCGTTTGACCCGGTTAGGATGATCCAATATCAATTTTAGACCTGTTTGGGTTTATAATTCAAATTACAGACCTATTTGGCCCGGTTAGGATCTAATATCAATTTCCAGACCCGACCCGTTTGGGTTTATAATTTAAATTACAGACCCGTTTGACCCGGTTAGGATCCAATATCAAATTTTTATACCCGTTTGGATTTATAACTCAAAATACTATACTCGTTTGGGTCTAAAACTCTAATTTCCAGACCCGGTTAGGTTTAAAACTTAAAATACTAGACCCGTTTGGGTCTAAAACTAAAATTTCAGACTCGTTTGGGCCTTTTGCTCACTAAAACCAGTTTTGTAGATTTTTATGCTGTCAAATCAAACCCGTTTGGCCTGATTTGACACAAACAATTATGTTATTTATTTATTTTTTTTCTTTTGTTAAGATGAAGGATGATATTGTTTGATCTCTTGATGCTTATTGGATCACCTGATGCTATGTTTGATCACCTAATGATATTTAATAGGGTTGATTGTGCATGAAAATGACTCCCGTCAAAATATGATTCATAAGCGTGTTATCATAGCATGACTATACCCTTGACATCATATCCCGATGTGAGGAGTTTCTCTTGATTATTACTATTATTATAATAACATTGACTAGATGATGCACCCATCTTGATTGGACATGTTTTGGGTCACAGTTATTTTTAATAAATTTTACGGAAGTCGTTCTATGGCAACTCTGTGGTTAGTGAATAATATTTCATGCACAACCACTTAAAATAAATAGATAAATATGAGGTTTATAAAGGGGAATTGGACGGAGAATATAATGTGTAGATAAGCAGGCTAATGCACATCCTTGATATCAGGAGTTATATATAAGGGTCAAGGACCAATCCTGTCTTGAAGCCGTGTTCCCGGGACGGTTTACGGGAGCCCGATTTATATACATGATACTATTCTCCACTAATGCAAGTAACATATAAAATAATAATAACATGCGAGTATGCCTTGATATCCGGAGTTGGTTTAGGTAGTTATTTGGTTTATACTTTTTCTTGAGATACATGTGACATTTTCTTGACTATGATATAATTTTCTT